CACACACACACACACACACGAAGCTGGCAGGCACAGTGTCCCCATGCAGTGCATCAGGCATGACAGCTCATTATGACAACTAAATACACTGGCATGCTGTTTGGGTAAGTGGAGGGGGGTGAAATAAGGATGCATATATAATTCTAACTGGCATATATTAGAACAAGTGCTCTTGCGAGGAATGCTGCTCTAAGTGTGACTGGGGAGTCCTTTTTGACAAACGACATTTTGAATCAGCAGTGACACTACTTGAAACACTGTAATCAAGTATTTAAATGTTTATTATTTTGGACCAGTCACATATAAAAATACATCAGCAAGGGAACTTGGTTTGGGAGGGACTGATTATGAAGGGAATACACTTTAAAAATTGTTGTTTGTGTTTTGTACTGTGCAGATTATCGTTCCCTAAACAGAGACATGGTTGTATTGTAAATCTTCAAATCTTATCTGTTGCAGACATCCACCACGTGTCACTTTCTGTATTGATAACCTGCTGTATAGACATGATTAATATTCCAGCATTCTGCACAGCTATATAGTGGTGACGCCATGTTTTAAATTGGCACAGTACGTTAGCATGTTTTATTCTGTTTTCATAAAAGGCAAATATGAGGCCTTTCTATACCTTGGGGAATTGGAACAAATAGAATAAAGATCATAAGGATGCACTTAATTAAAATGCTTCTCTTTTTTTTATTTCAAAGATGAAGTGGGTTTTTTATCTCCCAAACGCATCACGGCTTGTGTGTTTTTAAATAAACAGATGACGCAACACTGGAGCAAATGCTTTCGTGTAAGTAAATGTCCCTGTCTCCCTAGGTGGATGAACGCTTGAGGGCAGACTGGCTAAATAAATGTGAGCTTGTCCTATTGGAGTGACATTAAATTAAATGAGAGAGGAGTCTAGCCTGGGGACTTTGGGGGAAGTAGCGCTGGTTGGTTACCCCATGGATTTGGCCATTAATGAGAAAACCCATATTGAACCTTTCAGATGACTGTCTGGTGTTGACTTAAAGACAGAGAGCAGCAATAAGAGCCCCAGCAGCTCCCTTTGCCCCAGTGCTAATGGCAATTAAATCGACAACATTTATTTTAGATGTTCTCTTCTGCACCCCAAAAAGAATAGCGGATAAAAAAGAATGAGGGATATATGGTGCTTCTGTTGTAGCATAGCGTGTGATCTCTATTTATGAGTGTTAGTGGAAAGAGAGAAAGAACTCAAACTTTATCCCGATCACTCACACGTTTGTTCCCTTTGTTCTGAGCTTGTTGGCAATATTGTTCATCAAACATGCGTGTATTGTAATGATAACAGTCAGTGGTCTGAAGAGAGTGAGCGTGAGAGAGAGCGAGAGCACATATTTCTGTGTATGTTGTTAAGAATGAAGAGCGGGTGGACGTTTCATGTGGCTGATAGACAACAGTGCTAAAGATGAAAGAAGCAGCTTCATAAATAAGGCAGGGCCATAGTGCCGGATATTGACTGAGGACATGCCGGTGTACTTTGAAATTCATTTCTTTCTTTCCCCCTTCTCTTCTTTAAGGCGAAGCAGCCTTGCTCCCTGTGTGTGTGCTGAGATGTATATTTCAGAGATGTCTAGACATGCCTTTCATTCTGAGAAGGGGTCCCTCCATGGAGGCAAATGGAGTGGAAGGCTAGAAGAGATGGTGAGTTACATGTGTGTGTGTGCGTGTGTGTGTGCGTGTGTGTGTGTGTGCGTGTGTGTGAGTGTGTGACAAGAGCCTGAGGAGAGGCTGAGGCTGTCGTGGAAACTCAGCTGAGGGATGTTCACTCTGTCTGACTGTGATCCACTGGTTTTGGTCACACACAAACACATACCCACTGTGATTGTACACATGCCCCGGATGCATTATTGAGAGCAGCAGGCAGAGGACAGAGCATACTAGACAAAGAGAGTTAGAGGGAGAGAAGCCAAGTCGTTTCTTGGACCTTTTCTCTCAGTTGAAAGATGAGATCCTAATGCAGAATGATGATGTACGCCTTGCACAACACTGCTCAAAACTCAACAGTTTCCCTGAGTGAATTGTTTATAGCTATACATTCTGACTGTGTAATGCAGCAAGTGCTACAGTCGGTGAACCATGTAACTCATTAGGGCTTGTGGCCCACAGGCCAGAGCGATGCTGTGTGGGTTTTAGTGTCATGGGCCAAAATGGTCCCTCCTGCGGCACACAAACAATCAATACCCTGCTTTGATCAGCACTCCACATCAGCTACCCACATATGCAACACCACACTACATGACACACAAGACACCCACATGCACACATATGCATGCACACTAATTCTTTCAGTCGTTTTTATATACTTGCTCATGAGAACATGCATAATTTGACAAATGATTCATGCAGAGGAGAGGCATGCATAAATGGAGTGCAGCAGACAGAGTGCTGCCACAGGGTGGAATCAAACACTACAGATGAGAGCTGCACAGAATGTGCAAACATGCAGACGGAGACACGGTGAGATGGGAAGACAAAGACAGAGAGATAGGTGAAGAAATAAGAAAGGCGAAGTAAGAGCCATGCAGCAGAGCATCAGTAAGAACTAAAAGCACAGAGCAAGAAGTCGTAGTAATGATGAGAAAGGTGTAAAACTAACTTGTCCTGCAGCTGGCGGAGCTTGTCCTCCTTCTCCTGGAGTTGGCCTCGCAGGGCTTTGTTAGCTGACACCTGCCTTGTGACCTCCGCACTTGCACTCTGGGGGGAGGGCACACGGCGCGTGTTTGTTAATGTGTTTGTATACGACGGGGTGGAGAAGGTTTTCACGACACCACTGATGACAGGTCATGCACAGCATGCTTCCTCATTATAGCTACAGCGGGAGGGTGCAAGGTGCTAAGAGGTTAAGAGGAAAGCTGTATTTATAAACGTGGATGAGATAAGGGGAATAATTAGGAAAAATACAATTTGCAGACTTATTCCACTTAATATATTTTAATGGGGATTTTCTTATTAACAAACAAATAACTAATTATGTTCTCATTAAATTATTTCTATACATCAAAATAATTGGACATTTGTTAGTCTTTAATGATGCTTTCACTGTATTTAAACTAGAAATACTGCTTTTTTGAAAAATTAACCAATTCTATGCTTTAGTTTTTGCTTGATGAGCAACAGAGACATATGGCTCATGACGACAGGTTGGCTTCTGATCATAACACTGATGGATATTTGAACGTGCATGTTCACTTTGATTTAAAGGGCCCCATATCCCTTGTGGGAAGTGTACCAGTACAAGCTTTTGACAATGCGCTCACTCAGTGTGTGCACCCCCACAGCGCATCTCTCACCTCACCCTTTTGGTGTCACCTGACATGACTTCTGTGGCTGTGTGTAACGACAGCAGCAATCTGCTTGGTGACACTGATGAGCTGGCTGTGGAGAGGGTGATAACGCTGTGGTACCACTCACACCTTATTCCCTGTGATGTAGGGCACGTCTCTACTGTTATTCCTCATTTCTCATCTTCCTGACAGGTACTCCGTAATAAGATCAAATGATAAGAAATGCTAATTCATGTTGAAATCACATGCAATTTCAGGTGATGTCAAGTGTAAATTGAAAGGCTCAAGAATCTGTGTTTTTTTTCTTTTTTAATGCAGCATGATTTGAAAGTAGAACCTTGAGAGTGTTTCTTTCATAGTTTCTAAACTCCTCAAGGACTGAGGATGGATGTTTGAAAAATACTAGGGAAAATATACATGCATGTGTAATCCAGTACTGTGTGGCACTGCGTAGTAAGTAACACAAACTTGCCTGATTTATCACACAGTAAATATAAATGTAGGGTTTCCTTAATTCTTTTGGAGGGGCCAAATAGAATAAATGCTAAAAAAAAATGTTCCAGTTATTCATTGTATTATCCACTCAAGCTTCATAGTGCACAAAATTGGAAATGAACACAATCTTTAATGCCATCATCCTATTAAGAGCTTTATCTCATAAGGAGTGCACAATGTACAAAACATGAGGGAAATTCATTAACTCTGGAGTTCTATTTGGGAGAAACAAGTCTTAGACCAACTAACCTTAAGTTTAGCTTGAAGTTGTTTCACTTCAGCCTCCAGTGCCTGGGGGGCTGGGTTAGCTGGGGAGGGTATGGTTCTGCCCTGGCAGGAGCACTCTGTGTTTACAGGTGCTGGTGGAGGTGGTGGGGTTTGCTGTGGGAATGCGATCAGCCTCCACTGCTCCAGCTCCATCTCCAGAACCTTTTTCTGCTGCTCCACACCGGCCAGGTCAGAGGTCAGCTTCTGCAGATTGACCAACAGACAAAATAGTGGGCTAGGCTACTGTTGATGATAGCACAGAAAAGACAAAAGTTTTGTCAAATAGTGATGGGAGATATGATTGTCAAGAGTGAAACCAGACCTAGCTTTCTTGTCCAATGCAAAAATGTATGTTGTAAGAAAGAAATCCTCGGACTTGCACAAGTCTTACATGAATAAGATAAACGCAGAGACAACGTAAACAATATGTTTGAATTAGTGTATGTGGTAACCATGGGAGCGCTATGGGCTCTGCTTTAATATCACTTCTGTGAAATTTTCTTTTTTTATGCTGATTAGGAAACATGATACTGTTATTCAGTCAACAGGGCCTAATTCTCACAGTGATTGGCATGCATAATACAGTCATGCAGAATTTCACTGCGCTTTGGGATAGAGGGAGTTCGGCATTTGGTGAGTGGTTGGGTTTAGAGTGATGAATGATGATGGCACTAGTTGATCATAGACAACGTACAGTGTATCAATGATTTTAAACATAAGCATCTGAGGTGAACACTTTTAACCACATGTGTGCGGTTGAACAAAAAAACCCTGTCTTTGTCTTTCTATTAAGAAAATATGAGGCAGAAACACATCTCTGTAAGTTTGGTTCAATACTATTACAGTTAGCTGATCTGGTATCATATCAAACATCAAGAATGCTTAATGGCACAAATAGGAGACATGATACATGAAGATGTATGCTGCACTCATGGGGTAAATACTGGAACACACGCAGCGCCACACACATACACACACACACCCGAGTGAAACCGCAGATTCCCAGGGGTTTGCTCTCTGCTCTGCATACATGGAGGTTATTGATATCTGGTTGCTGGCTGACACCTTTTAATAGAATCCCTCTTGTTTTAGGTTTCCTCTGTTCTGCTGAAGACGCACATGCCATATCCCCAGGGAGGGGAGGGGGAGAGGAGTAGGTGTAGAGAATGAAAAGTGAGGCGATGGCTGCAGTGGCAGTGGTGCACGGATTAAGAGTGGCATTGATGACACTTCCTGTAAGACAGGCTTTGATTTTGTAGGCCATTTTCAGCCCTGGTGAGAGATGACACTGACATGGACAGATATACTTGGGGTCCATTAGGCTGGGAAAGAGGACAGCTCTCCATCCCTCTTTTTCCCCACAGAGCGACAGCTTAGTCTCACAAATTAATGTTGCGACTTGTTTCAGAAACACACAGAACTTTGTGAAAACGTGTCTGTCGCAGTCGGCCCTAGTGAGGAACACACCGGAGCTAATGGAGTTAGCACTTTTGAATATGAGCTCTCTCTCTAGCAACATGTTTTGTATAACTGATTTTATTACTGAACATAGTCTAGCTTTATATTTTTAACAGATGCCTGGTTCACTTCAACTGCTGCAGCTCCTCTTATTGAAAATTCACTTCCGAATTTTAACTTTTTATCAACAAAAGAAAAAAGAGGGAGTGGGAATACCACTGTTTTCAGTAATAGTTTTACCAGCACTCAACAACAGCTTTTCACTGTGACTGTCCACAACCTCTGACTAGAATTCTGTTTGCTTATTTATTTTTATCCCTCGTCTTTTTTTTATTTTGTATTATTCACTTTTTTTCTTGTTTTTACTTTGTATTGTTTTGTCTTGAGAAGCACTTTGGGGTGCAAGAAAAGTTCCATTTATTAAAGTTTACTCAAGTTACCGCGCCAACTCCTTAGTTACTATTTTTTAATGTATTCCTCCTACTGGCCAGACATTGTATGTGGTATGTGCTGCAACTGTCATTAAAATGTAAATAGTCTGGAGCTTTTTAGGTTTAGTCAGTGATGTCTGATGCACTCCCTAATCCTGTGATAATCCTGGCCCCTTACATGTTAGAGGAGGGCAGGACATTCCACACTCAAAGAGATAATGTTGGTAAATTTAAGGAGACGCCATCCCAGTGAACCTGAAGAGTGAAGCAAATGGGAGTGTTATGATAATGAGTGAGGTTGATAATCCAAGCAGCCAAAGGAGCCGGTGTTTAGATGATATGCATGACTAGCACGTTTCTACAAGGCGGGTACACTTCACCTGTCACCTGATCTTTTAAGCTTCTTATGACACACTAAAGGAGAATTCCAGTTGATTACAAATCAGGCCTAATTTTCCTAGGTTTTGGCCTGTATTTTTATCCAAATGAAAATATTAAATTTAGGGAATAATTGCAATAATAATGCCAACATAAAATATGAGCTGACCTTAATACACCTTATCTTCAAGAGAAAATGAAAGTAAATATTTTAAACATCCATAATAGATCATAGACTGACTTGATGACGGATCATTGCTGGTGATGTGGGGGCATTCACTTCACTTAATTCATATATCAACTATTCCATTCAGTTATTGAGATATTTAAACGCCCACTATCCAAACTCATAGAAAGAACACAAGAACAGGGGAACAGAAATGGAAAATAAGGGAAAGCAAGTAAGAATGGAAGGAATAAGGAAATAAGGCTTTGGGATGGTAGGAGACGAGCCACAAGGGGAGGACCGAATGGCCAAAGGATCAGGAGACAGAGCAACACAAACAAGTTTCTGTGAAACTGCCATGCTACTTCTCACATGATGGCCCCTGTGGAGGCTGTCCTAAGCCAATTACAAGCAGTGAGTTTTAGTTGGAGAGTTGGCCCAGACCGGCTGGAACGAGCCCAAAGTCCATCACCTCTTGCCCTTTCCAGAGAGGGCAACAAGACCTGGCTTTGGACAGGCAGTTGGCTGAAACTTTCTCTGGAGAAGTGGCATTAATACTGCACAAGGAAAGAGGAAACAAGAAGGAAGACAACAATTCCCCCTCTGTCCACACAACAGTCTGTGTTGTGTGTGTGTGTGTTTGTGTGCCTTTACTGCTGTGTCTGAGTCTAAGGTCTCGTTGGGCCTCTGCAATCAGATGCCCGGGTAGGAGCACAAGGGCCACTTCCTAGGTAGCAACACTATGAGGGCTGCACTCATGACCTGTGTGTACAAGTGCAATATACTGTATCTGTACTATTCCACTCAGTAAATATACAGACATACAGACACATGCACCTAATCAGGTGTCCAGTGCACCTTCACTGGCTGCTGCTATGTCTGAATCCACCAAGTCTCCTGCCTCCTTTTGGATTAACGACTGTATCTGTGTCAGTGTTGGTGTGTGTATTTGTATGTGTGTGTGTATGTGTATTTGTGTGTACATATGTTGGTGTCTATAAGGAGGCCCTGACAGGAAAGCTACTGTTTAGGGGGCAAAGTGCTATGTGTTTTATTTATAATCTATACCAAGTCTAAGAGTTTCCTACCTGGAGGCAGGTACTAAATAACTCAATGGGCGTATGGCACTGGACTCAGTCCCCTTGTATTCGTCTGTGCACACAGGTGCACATATTTGAAGAAATGTAACTGCTAGTGACACAGATTGTTGTGGAGAACTGTCTCACTAAAACATTCAGCAGGACGAGACAACAGCCGAGCTGGAGAGGGAAAGAGAGATTCTCCTTCTCTCTTCTGCTCTGTGGTGCTGACCTCCACAGGCGAGGGTAGGCCTGTCAGCCACACTTATTAAGCATGATAAGGGCAAAGGACCTGCTACTGCTGCACTCTCAGCTCATAGCAAATACGAGAGAACCAGAAAAATAAAGACAAAGACAGACAAATAAGAAACTTCCCAACACTTACAACTGGCTTTCCTCTTTACGCATCTCCCTGGTTTTTCTCCCCAAGTTACCTGTGTGAGCTGCTTTCTGCTGCAGAGTTTCTCAGTGAGGGAGTTGAGCTGTGCCATGATCTTCTCATTGGCCCTCCGCAGCTCTTTGGCTGAAAGCACAGCATCTTTCCTGGCACCTTGCAGTATGTCAATGTGACGCTGTAGGGACTCTACGCGCTGCTGCAGAGCAGAGGAGGAGCAGCACTGGGTCCTCAGCATCCTCTTCCTCCTCCACCTCCTTTTCTCTCCTCTCGTCCCTCGTTCCCAGGGCTCATGCTGTTTATCGTCTAACAGGAGGAAGTACATGCAGGCGCCTCAGAGTTGACAAGAGCACAGGAAAACTCCAAATCCCTATTTAGAATCTACTGCTGGGATTTAACAGCCGTATGTGAAGGTGTCTTTGTGTATGCACAAGTGAAAACTGAGATATATTTAACAACTTGAATGATTAACATTTTCATTTATACCCATTTGAGGAGTGTCAGATTCTTGGGGGAAAAAAACAAAAAACAAAGCTTGTTAACTTCTGAAATACTTGTTTCTGATCGACAGAATGTACATGCATTGAATGTTTTTAATGCTTCAATTAAGAGTGGATTAGATTTTTGTAGTTTTGCATAGGTACGAAACAGGAAAACGTATCCTACCTTGGGCAGGAACATTGCGTTGTTTTCTGTGAGAATCAGCTTCTGGTGCTTTTGAGATCAGTGAACACCTGTAGGACTAAAAAAAGCAGAAAAGTCAGAGACAGTTATGAAAAGCAGCTGTTTAATGTAACACAACCGGTTGACATGTTACGCTTCCTGAGACGCAGCTCATAATGACACTGTGATCACAGTGTGTGCTCAGTTTAACGCGACAAGACAAATCACCCTGTGCTTTAATAATTCACCTGAGCTTGTTCGACTGACTTGAACTTGAACGCTTCTCAGCACGGTTATTACTTCTGACAGATGCTTGCAAATGCCGCCTTTGTTCAATCAGTCTGAAAGCTCAGATATACTCCTACAGTATGACGAGTGTGTATGTGCGAGTGTGTAATCATTTACACTCATAAGTGCCTATGCAAGACACTACCCAACTCCACTGTTGTTTGTAGTGACATCAAAGAACCCTCCCCTACCCCCCGTCCTCTCAGTTTCCTTTGTACAGGGTCAGATAGGATTTGATCAGTGCCAGGTTTGATCACAGAGTGCCATGTGGAGAGGAGCAGTGAGACGAAACCTTTGGTTTGTGACATAGCGCGGCGTGAGGGGCTGGGGCTGTCATAGCGATGAGCCCGGAGGAGCTGATGGGCACATTTAGCAGATCTGGAGTGGGAGTAACTAAAGGGGATCTGAGACTAGGGGTCCTGACAGCTCCCTTGCAACATGTACAACAGCAACTCTCTCCTTCTCCCCACCTTCTACCTTTTTCCCGTCATTCCAAAAAGAGAAATGGAGAAGAGAAAAGGACAGTATCTTTAGAAAGGTCCCTCCTTTTTCCTCTCTTCATCTCTCTTTTTGACAGACATATCTCTCTGGGGTTTGGAGCTGCCATGTCCTACTGTGAAGTGGTTTGATGTGGACAAGAGTAAGGGTCCAGGCCTATTGATTTCATGGTGCGAAAAGGAAACAGAGAACCACCACACATGAGGAAGACTTTGTGATCGCAGGAGGAAAAGGATGGGACACTTAAAAGATCTATACATTGGCATGAACCAAACCACAAAACAAAGCGCGATTGAAATACTCAAAAATGTATCATCAGGTAAACAGTTAATCGGACCGTTATTTTCTTAATTAATCGATAAATCTTTTGGTTGCTAAAATGTGAGAAAACCGTGAAAATATTTTTAAAAAAATGTTGAAACGATTGTCAGATGTTTACGGGCAGTTAACAGAAAAGTCAGCATGTGGCTGTCACACAGTGCACGTTCTTGTGTTTTTGGGGCGTAGCTTTGACGAGAGGGTGGAGGTTGTATCTGTAGCATATTTTCTTAATGTAGCCTGCTCTTACGAGCTTCTTCAGGATTACCTACCCTTCCTTTAACTGATTAACAATATAGCCACATAACCAATTACCATGTCTATGATAATGTAGCTGTAAATAATTTAGCACATAGGATTCTTCTGAATTAATTTACAATTAATGTTAAATTCTGCTTGCAATTTTGTTTTGTATAGTATCTCAACACATCAGCTTCACTAATAAATAGGGATAACTTTCCTCCAAATATAATGAATGTCACATTGCAACCATTTTTAAAGAAATAAATTAGATATTGAGGATCTAGACATAAAATTTGAACACAGTGCAGTTTATGATTATATAACCGAGAGATTTAAGGATGAGGGCAAACCAACCTTTCGGTTTGCATGTTGTCTGCGAGGTGCTTTCCCTGAGGGCACACTGTCGAGACTGTCCAAGTACTCCTCACCGCTGTCACTGTGGAGAAAGGTGAGAGGGGTTATTACAGACCAGAAGTTGAACCCACAACACTGGTTCTGAAAGTACCACCCTTGGACAAAAAACCAATTTACCATTTATGGTTGATTTAGTTGACATCAAGCAAAAATATGTGCATTTTGCCGCCCCTCCCTCCAACAGAAAATCAATGTCCCATCCAATTTCTGAGCTGGAAGTGTAAATGTGGGTGTAAATTAAGTGAAAAGCTGCAGTGTCGGGTGCTGATAGTGAATGCATCAACATGTATGAGAGCGGCTGTGGCCTTCATTAGCCCTCTGTGTGTGACAGACGTGTATGAGAGGCACGGCTGAGCGGAGCCAAGCAAAGTTGCATCTGATGGACACACGGTAAGGGCTTCCTGAGGCGCACACACACAACCTCACACACCCTCAAATACACACACATACACACAAACAGCCACACACCCTCAAATACACACACATACACACACAGGTTTATTGACAGTGACCTTTGATGTGAAGGTGGAAGCCAGTGACATTTACGCTGCCGGGTTTATTAAGGTGGGGCCTCGGAGAAGCAGCAGAGGTAAAGACCACAGAGAGAGGATATAACTGGTACTTGACAAGACTGGGGGCTAGTTAGGGTTAAACCTGGTCTGGAGGGGGCAGAGGGACTTGCTGATGATAACTAATCACCACCACTAAGAACCCACAACTAAGAGGTTATGCATTTGATGAAAAATGCTACCCTGTTCTTCCTGCTAAGACTACTAAACAAGTTTGACATAAATTAAGCCATGTGAATACAAATTTAAATAAATCTTTTTTTATTAATTTCAATTTATATATATAATATTCAAACTGAAACTGACAAATACTACTTTCACTATGGTACAGTTAACATGAGCCAATCAGTCATCAAGAATTACTGTAACTGTATCCACAGACTGTTAAAGTTGTCTCCTGAATGTGCTTCCATATATCATATAGTTAAGAATGCTGTGCTTGCATTTTAAGATGATGCTTCAGGGGATATTGAGTTGGTGTGTCTGTGCACAGATACTGTACATAAAACACAGATTTATGCATTAACAGGCTGGATGCAAAACGATGCAAGTCAAATACAGATATAAACTAAAGAGAAAACTTGAATAAACTATTCAGCCGAGCACAAACCTCCGCCAAGGCCCGACAGTCTTAAATTCAATCAAGCTCCACCAAATTTCATTCACTCATAGAAATCAGTCTCCTAGATATTTCTGATTTTATCCATAAATATTCTTGCATTATTCTCTGGAAGAACGGTGAAAATTTTGAAAAATGCCTCGTGAAATTGTTTTCCTGGATCCGGGGGGGGGACCAAGGAACGAATCACCAAGCTTTCGAATAAATGGAAAAAACCCATGGTAACCTCTGACCAAATCCCAAAATCAAAACACCTAATGAGGGGATTATCTTTAAGAACAAGGGCCTTGATTTCCTCCAACACAGTTCCACAAGATTGAACATTTTTTGTCCTTATCTGTAATTTCCTCATGTAATGTAGTGTCCATCAAGAACCTCTGTAATATATAAACACACATCACTTCCTTCTAACAGAACTATTCAGTGAGATATTTTCCATACCCCCTGCTCGCCAACAAAACTGATGATCCGCTCAAAATGGTCAGCTTCCTCCAGCAAGCTCAAAAATTCAGAGAGCGAGCCAGAGGCAGCGAGAACTAGAAGGGGGGGAAAAAAACAAAGAATTAGCAGTACCCTTAACGAGTCTGACATCTTTATTTGACACTATTAGGGCCAAAGCTCCTTAGGCAGAAACACTGTATTTCCGGCAGCGCCTACCAGACATACTGCTGAAGAAGACCCCTGCGAGATACTAGACGCAGAAGGCTTTACAGTAACAAATCAGTTGACAGGTGCCTTAAATAAGACAACATCTCAGTTTAGACCCCTTCTTCGCAAATCCACTTAGATCCTCCTCTCAGGTAAAGTATATATTAGACTGCTGCTTATTAGCTACATGGAGAGGCATTAGGAAAGCAGGGCATAGCTGTACCCAGTCCCTGTTAAACAGCCTCACGTGGATAGAGCTGGGGATTAGAGTCAGATGAATTAGTTGGTGAAGAGATGGCGAGTTAGTGGGACAGAGCAAAGAGAGTGGATAGAGAGAGAGTGAGAGAGGCATACAGGGAGAAAAGTGAAGGGAAATAAATATCAGCGATAGCTCTGAGTGTTTGAAATCAAATCATTCCGACCATCACTCAATAAATGTTGGCTCAGTGGCTTTTTTGCATAAAACATACATGAAATAATTACTGTCGATGGTTCTTAATTTAGAGGGTGTTAAACAGCTTGTAGACATCTGGTAGTGAGCCGAGTAGGGTCATTCAAAATGTATCTAACTAAATTAAGGCACTGAGAGGAGAGAGGAGGGTGGGTAAGAGAGAAGTGTGTGTGTGTGTGTGTGTGTGTGTGTGTGTGTGTGTGTGTGTGTGTGTGTGTGTGTGTGTTTGTGAGTATGCATGTGTGTTGGGAGGAGGATACAAGTGTGGCTGGAGGAAATAGGTGTAGCAGACACATTTGTGAATTGACATGCCACTAGATAACAAACTTGACTAGACATGGAGGCATTGGCTTCTCTGTGTATGGTTGTGTGTGTATGAGTTGAGGAAGTGGGTGGGTGGTTGAAGGTGGGGGCTTGGTACTTGCAGGGGGATCCTTAGCGCTGTCAAGGGGGGGGTTAGAGAATGCACAGGACCAGTAAATTAAATCAAACTGCCAAACTGTCAATTTCAAGATAGCGTGACTAGTGCATGAAAATGGCATCACTGGAAGGTATCAAGGCTTCGGCGGTCTCCTTATCCCTTGGCTTTTCTGGCATCGGTTCAACTTTGTGTGGAGAGGTGGCTAATTTTGCATGCAAATTTCAGTCAATAAGCTCCAAGCAAGGCATCCCAGGATATTTCAAAGGATCTGACAGTGGTTCCCCCCTCCTCCTCTCTCCTACTCTCTATCATTCTTGCTCACATTCTTCTTTTGGCTTCTGAATACCAACTAGACAGACGATGAAATTCAATCACCCATTTGCTTACGCTTTGCATATGCACAGTGTCCCCTCGATGCAGCGTGGCCCCCCCATGATTCTGCCAACCCACCCTCTCCATTCCTACCACCTAAAAATAATGAGGCGGGAGGCAGGAAGAAGAAGTGCATCTGTGTGTGCGTGTGTATCATTACCTATCTACGCTCATGTCCTCCCACTCGTCCTTAGTGGGACTGGGGCTGCGGCCTTGCCAGCTGATGGCTTGATTGGGGCTGACTGCTCGGTGGCTGCGCTGGTGTGGTGGACCTCTGAGCCTAGTTGTTTTGAATTTAACCTTGCTGCTAATGTTGCTAGCGATCCCACCTGCCCGCACTGGCCCTGCTGCATGGTTCCTATAGAAGTCCCTGGCTGCTCTGAGAATCCCCAGCTCCTGTCTCAGCTTCAGCAACTGATGTCGAAGCTTGGTCGCCTCTTTCTGAGATGCAGCCAGCCGGGCTTCTACAGCCATGATCTTGTTGCAGTGCTGCTCCCCCTGGGCCAGGGCCTGGGCCTGGGCTGCCTCTTCACGAACACCTTCCTGGGTTCGCAGGTGATCCAGGGAGGCTTGGAATTTGTGGCAGTTGAGGGCCAAGTCTTTGTTGGCCTCAAGTAACTGTTCTTTCTCTTCCCTCAGCCTCTCTGTCTCCTTGTCCAGGGACTTCATCTTCCACTCCAGCTGCTCGATCTGAAAGAATCAGAGATACAACATTGTCCATTCTTTCCTTTACATATATCTGAAATTTTTACCATAAATTCTCAAACTTCTTCATAGAGAACTCTTGAAAACAACATTCCAAAGTCAAAATCCTGTTGTTAAATTAAAAATTGTAATGAGAAAGGCCAGTAACTGACTTGACCTGCTTGCGGAAGCATGTATATAGAGGCTTTCCTCTCCACTGACATTTTCTAACGGGGGTATGTGCCAGTGAATATGGTTTATGCTGTGTGAAAGGTTGGACCCGTGTGCGTGTGTGTGTGTGCGCGCGCGCGTGCGTGTGTGTGGGGGGGGGGGGGGGTCAACACTCCCCTTCGCAGCCTAGCAAGATTATGGACATTTGACTGGCACCTACTTACCCTGATCAACCCTAACTAGACAGCAACCAAGAACACTTAGTCTATTTGTTAGATCTTTGGTGGAGACTGTTTAAGAGAACAGTGGATGCCTGCTGGGTTTGTGCCTCCAGGCAATTTTTCCCTTTTATTTGGTTCTCAGTCTGCCTGCTGGTGAAGCCTGGTACCTTTCAAAAAAAATTAGATGGCCATCCCAACTCTTGATAATTCACGGCCTTGAAAGTCAAAGGGTGGGGGGCAAATAAATGTATGCAAGCAGGGATTTTAAAAACGTGTTTTTAACATGAGCAAGCTACTAAGAGCTACAATACAAAATGTTGTATTCTCTGATAACTTAATACATGTTCCTATACTCCACCCCCACAGTTATTATTTGTAGTTACACCTGGAATTACTTTTAACATGGAGAAAAACAAATGGCGTCCTGGCTGACACTTGACTTGGAAATTAGCGAATGACCAATCCTTCCGAGAGCGAGAACACTTTCAAATCATTCTTCATAGAATAAAACCCAATTGTTTGAGAGGCATTTAGTTATGGCTCTGTCAGGTTTCTTTTATTGGCAATGACAATGAACACTTAGTGATGGCATAGTGCTGTACCTTTTTAAATGACTGTTCCAGTCGTTCTGAAGAAACAGAAGGCTTTTTCGGAGTGCTGCTTTTGACCTGGTGTTCCTCTACCACTTTGTGAAGCAATTCTGCAAAGAGGAACAAAGATGTTATTGTGACATGGTTTGTCAAACTCTGGCTGCTCAATCAATAGAATGATAATAAAGAGGGTACATTAAATCAATTAGCATTACTAATGTCTAACTTCAATCTTAAGGTCCAGGTTCAGAATCACTAATGCTGAGAGATCTTGAAATGTTCATGGCTAACAACCTACCTCCTGTTTCTAAAATCTTATCAAATAAGCTTTTTCAACTAGATTAACAGAAAGGTGTTTTATTTAGTAGCCCACAAGGAAATAGGAAAACAGTTTTCAAAAGCACACACACACACATTGGTACATGCAATGGGCAACCTCTCTCTAGAGATCTTAAACAAACGAAGAGAAGTGCTTGAATCCCTCGTGGACACAAGCCCCAGGCTGCACTGCTTTGTAGTCCACTATGTTTCCCCAATGGACAACTAATCTCACCAGACTAACATGCTGCTTTATTCTGAGAACTTCAAATGTGGCCTTGGCAAACATATGATTTAGGCTTTACAATAACAACAGAATACATGCTGTAGTCAAAGTGTCTGGGGATTGGATGTTAACATATTCATGTGCGCATAAAGAACCCAGAAGGCCTCAGTGTCACTGATGTTTGACATACAGTAGATACACCTGCAGAAGTTGGAATATCTTTCCGGCTCACCTATATGCAAAGGGCAACACAAAACAACATACAACTTTCTGCCTTTCATTCTCGCCTGTTAAACATTCATGACAGAACGACCAAAATAATTTGTACAACGAGGCTGGAAGCATTAAATATTCAGGACCTTGACTTTTAGGTCAGTTGATTTTTGGAGAGTGAGTGGGAAAAAGAGGCCATAGTAGGAGAGAGTAAAGAGAGAGAGGGGTTTTGTTGAGAGAGGCTGCTGCTTCTTTGCTTCACATTTGACGCTTTGCCCAGGGAATTTTGTTACTTTGAATTAGGCTGTTCTTTTGTCTTTCCAGCATGTCACAGTCAATCAAACAGAGCACCAAATAGGACAGGAGGGCTGCCGTGTTCGCTGGGTACATAACCAGGTTGGGAGACAATTATCCAGCTCCAGTGCCGGTGGCTTGGGAGTTGGCACCTCAGCACTACCTTGATAAGAAGACGTGGTGGCTCCCTAGTCACCCACTGTTGGAGGAGGTCCTGGCACTGCGGCATACATTAACGTCCCTCCCACGTCTCCTCATGGGCTGCAGCACAAAGGCCCTGTTCCTTTCATCTGCTGTCTTTCGTTAGCGTGATTCCAGTGTGAGCCATCAACCCGCTATCCCTTTGATCGGGTCACAGAGGTTGTTCAGGAGTAAATGTTGTGGCCATTCACAACATTTATTTTTAATGAGGTTGGGTTCACTTCCTTTTGTTGGCAAACATGCTGTCTAAGTGGAAAATAATTGACATAACCGACATTTATTGCTTCACAAAGTTTATGATGAGATCATCTTTGCCTCAGCCATCCCAGTAGGCTATACAACTTTTTTACTTTCACTATTTACAACAATTAAAATGGGTTATGCAACTGTGATAAATAAGTTTTCTCTCACAATCATTTTTTCAATGATTTATTTATTTGTTGCATTTTTAAATGATTTATGAGATTTTGTGTCCTTTAACATAAAATATGGCAAGCGCTCTAATGCTTTCCTATTGATCCCGATAGCACACGTGTTCACATTCATTGTGAGACTGGTCATTGCGAAGTTTGGTTATAACAATAAACAAAACATGAATTGTTGTCATTCATGTAAACATAGTATGAAGTATCATTCCACACAAAACCTAATCCTTAACTTCATATATTAAGTTGTTATGGGAGAAAGGGCATATTTAACATTAATATAACAAAAACACCAGTCTCATTGGGGAGAACATTGTGCAAAGTCACTGACTGTGGTTGCCAACTGTTTCAAAAAGGTGCTTGTATCACATTTATATTTAGAGATTATTTGTTTGATAAGATGTAAAACTAAGTGTTTCCTTTCTAAGGTGCTTATTTCCTGGTATTCCTGACTAGACTGTCAATAGGACAGGATTCACTATTTTAATTAGTGCCACCCTTTAAATCACAGGCTTGCATCTCTAACAGACACCATCATTGGTTGTGAAGAAAATTAAAGTGATCTGGGACAGATTTGTTATTGAACGAGTTAATTAAAGCCACCGATTGCAGTGGTCGGCATCTGACAAAAGGATGCGGAATCAATTAAAAGCAATGTGCTTTTTAACTTTGGGAATGATGTATTCAGACAAGATGAACACTACTTGATCTTTCAATCAATTTGCAAGGAGCTGATCAACTCTTAATTGAGTTGTCCTATTAATTCCACTGGGAGAGGTCTTATTAATTCTGCTCACTGTTACACATGTCCAGGAGGTAAGGGTAGCTTAAAGGTGGGTTTTGAATGTGTGATTGACACGTAACAATACATGTGCAAAATTCTATTTGGGCAAAAGATTTACAAACCAACAGAAAAGAAAATAATTTTAAACAATCATCACTATTTGGCTCCAAAAAGACTTTTCCAATATAAAGCAAGAGGGGCTCACCTTGGTGTTCATTGGCAAGACACAGGTGGAGCTCCTTCACTGTGGCCCGGTCCATAGCTGCCTGGACTCGTAACATGTCCATCTGCTCTTCCAAGCCGGCTCTGCATTCAAACACATTGTAAACTTTTCCTCACATAGCACTTATATCTATTCTACAAAAACATATTAAAAAAAACCAAGAGTTGACAAATCATGAGAATTGTAAAATTTGTATTTTTTTAAAAATCTTAAAAAAATTTTTTTTTCCACATTTTAACTTGATTTGTGTGCTGGCTTTATCCCAACGGTAAAGACAACATGCAGAGGAAATCAACTAATTAAAATGGTTTTTAATTCATCTGAAAAATCAAAGTGACATGCAACATGAAAGGCCAAGGTGGGAAAGTACAGTGTGCATCTGTGTGTGTATCATAACAGACAAACAGAGTGGAGAGAGTGCCCAATTACCTCTGTGCAATTAGCTTGATTTCTGCTAAAGGCTAATTACGTGGAGCCATGCTCGAGACTTTGCACTTTCAAGTTATTATTAGGACCCCAACAGAAGTCTACTGAGGATACACATGGCCCACAGAGGCAACCACACCTGAAACACACACCTAATTCCCCTCCCCTCTGCTCCACAGAGTCAGAGAGAAAAACTAGAAACAGGCTGCTGCTGCTGCTACTACTGTAGTGGCCTTCTTCCCTCAGTTTACCTCATTACAACAGCAGGTCTTTATTCTGACCGACTTCTTAAGGCAAGTGGTGAGTACAGCATGCATGATACACTCTAAACTGTATGAGGTGTAAAATGAGCCATTTGTGGTTATGATGAATTAAGATGAGAATAATGGAAATTAACTTAAACGAGACACTTTTTAAACCAATCTCATTTTGCAAGATCCACCAAGAGGATTTTCCATACGACTTGGGAAAATTATCACCATAGCACAGGGAAGGGAAGCAATTAGGTTTTTAGCCCACAGTACAGCAGAGGCTTGGTCTAATGGCTGACCGCTGCTTAAATAAGTACACAAATGACTCTCCCTGAGGGAGGCGAGGAAGCAGATGGATATGTGTCGCTCCTGTATGGATTTGCCTCCATAAATGAACTCAAGTCGATGAGGCACCGGCACTGCCTTATGTGTGGAGGATGCTAATGGGACAAACAAACTGAAATATGCAGTATGCGGTAGGAGCTTGTTCCATCTCATGTTTCTCTTTTATGCCTTTTTGGATGCTGATAGTATTGACGCTAATCCAAAGTTCAGATGCAAAACATTCAATTTTGTTGAAGGATAAGCATATTTTCTTGGATGAAGGAGGGATTGGATTGCAGATGTAGTTCATTGGCCAGGGGCTTCCAGTTTCACAACATCACACTCTAGAGATGGAGGACTGTTGCATCCTTATTCAGTAACACTCACGTTGTTGCAGTTTGTGCTTCAATCTGCCATAAAAAATAAAATTAACAGATCGGCAAGTGGGGATGTTACAAGAGCAATTATTAAGAGTAATACATTCAATATTTGCAGAGACAACATTGTGTAGTAATCAGAAAGTTGAGGACATTTTCAAGCCTGAAAGTTTGAATGGAGAAGACACCTGTCTAAAAATCAGAAAACCAAACAAAACCTAAAACAATATTTTTATTTCAAAAATGTATCTGGTTTGCAGGCCAGTTTATATTTTAGAACTTTACTTTTTTAAACTTGCATTGTGTGAGTCACAAAGTTACAGAGCCAAGAGTTTTGTATTGCATCAAAACAACAGATGGCATCAGTCAACACATTTGTTTAACAACTTGGTCAACATGTTAAAATTCTACTTTTAAATAAACTGTTAATACAAACATATTTCCACAGTATGTACTGCCTTTTTTCCCATAGGTGACACATACACCAAATCTCAAATCTATTTCATTCTTCACTGCACAAAACTATATTCTTAGATGGCGTATGCTCACATCTTCCCTCACAGTCTCACTCCTTGCACATTGCTTCCTCGCGTGAGTACATCATTTGATAAACAGATGCTTACTATTTTCACCCCACTGGGGTCCTGATGATGGGAAAAGGGCAAATTTAAGAATCCAAAAAGATGTTTAGGCAACACTCTAAGGCTGTGGTAGCACTGAGATAAATCCCAACCTTAAGGAGCTACCTTTTAGATCTGCATCACATTATGACTGCCTCCAACTGAAACAAATTCCAGAGGTTTTCCCTTCGTCAAACTACCTCCAGTAACCTGCAGTTTATGTGAAATGAAACTATGTTTTCTAGTCATAGCCGAGCTATCACTGTGGAAAAGGGTTTCTCTGCAGATTTACTTCCTATAGGGTACACAAAGTCTGTTTATAATCTGGATGACAAATCAAATGAAGCTTGCCGAACAATTTTCAACTCGCTCTCAACATGCCGCTTCACCTAAGGCAGAATAATAGTCAGCAAGTATAAAAGCAAAAGAGGCGTCTTGGCAGAAACCAAAGGAAAGGCAACAAACGAGTGTTATGTTTGGTAATGATGTGGTCTGCAATGGAACTCTGTGTCTCACGCCGCTTTTTGGCCCTTTTTTTAAAAAACATTTGCACATTTGAACTTCAGCCTTGAGTTATCCACTCCATGTCATTTGATCTCATCCCTACCTGTGCTGCACCAAACACAGCTTAGAGCACAAACTGCCAGCCTCCATCCACAAGGGTGTAGAACACAACATCATCTGCAGCCATTGTGCTTCCACACGCCAGCCTCCTTTTGGTTTCTTGCTCAGCGCATAAAAATACACGGGTAGAGCAGGGAATTGGGTGAGAAAGCGAAAACACCTCTGGCATTTTTATCACAGGGGAGAGATTCTTGTTTGTGTGTGTGTGTGTGTGTGTGTGTGTGTGTGTGT